ATGACGCGGATGCTGGACGTGCTGGAGCGGTTCCTCACCTTCCACGGGCACATCTACCTGCGGCTGGACGGATCCACGCGGGTGGAACAGCGACAGGTGAGCCACAAAAACACCTGAGAGACACCTGAGTGGGGTTAGACACACCTGTGACACACCTGGGCACACCTGGGCACATCTACCTGCGGCTGGACGGCTCCACGCGGGTGGAACAGCGACAGGTGAGCCACAAAAACACCTGAGAGACACCTGGGCACACCTGGGTGTGATTGGGATACACCTGGATACACCTGGGTGGGGTCAGACACACCTGGGATACACCTGGGTGTGATTGGGATACACCTGGGTGTAGTTGGAGACACCTCGGATACACCTGAGATACACCTGGGTGGGGTCAGATATACCTGGGTAGGATTGGAGACACCTGAGACACACCTGGGCACACCTGGGATACACCGGGCACACCTGGGCACACCTGTGACACACCTGGGGCACATCTACCTGCGCCTGGACGGCTCCACGCGGGTGGAGCAGAGACAGGTGAGTGCTGACACACCTGGGCACACCTGGGACACACCTGGGACACACCTGGGTGTGATTGGGATACACCTGGGTGGGGTTTGACACACCTGGGTACACACCCGGGTGTGATTAGAGACACCTGGGATACACCTGGGGCACGCCTGTGTCACACCTGGGCACATCTACCTGCGCCTGGACGGCTCCACCCGCGTGGAACAGAGACAGGTGAGTCACAAAAACACCTGAGACACACCTGGGCACACCTGGGCACACCTGTGTCACACCTGGGTGTGATTAGAGACACCTGGGATACACCTGGGCACATCTACCTGCGCCTGGACGGCTCCACGAGGGTGGAACAGAGACAGGTGAGTCCAAAAAACACCTGGGCACACCTGAGATACACCTGGGAGACACCTGGGTGTGATTAGAGACACCTGGGATACACCTGGGCACACCTGTGACACACCTGGCACATCTACCTGCGCCTGGACGGCTCCACGAGGGTGGAACAGAGACAGGTGAGTCCAAAAAACACCTGGGCACACCTGAGATACACCTGGGAGACACCTGGGTGTGATTAGAGACACCTGGGATACACCTGGGCACACCTGTGACACACCTGGCACATCTACCTGCGCCTGGACGGCTCCACGAGGGTGGAGCAGAGACAGGTGAGTGCTGACACACCTGGGCACACCTGGGATACACTTGGGCACATCTGGGGCACACCTGGGCACACCTGAGACACACCGGGGCATATCTACCTGCGCCTGGACGGCTCCACGCGGGTGGAGCAGAGACAGGTGAGTGCTGACACACCTGGGATACACCTGAGATACACCTGGGTGTGATTGGGATACGCCTGAGTGGGGTCAGATACACCTGGGTAGGATTGGAGACACCTGAGACACACCTGGGAGACACCTGGGTGTGATTAGAGACACCTGGGATACACCTGAGATACACCTGGGTGGGGTCAGATATACCTGGGTAGGATTGGAGACACCTGAGACACACCTGGGCACACCTGGGAGTGATTGTGATGCACCTGGGTGGGGTTGGGCACACCTGGGTGGAGTTAAGAGACACCTGGGACACCCTTGGATAGGGTCAGACGCACCTGGGACACACCTGAGCACACTTGGACACACCTGGGTGTAGTTAGAGACACCTGGGCACATCTGTGTCACACCTGGGACACACCTGGGCACATCGACTTGTGCCTGGACGGCTCCACGCAGGTGGAGCAGAGACAGGTGAGTGCTGACACACCTGGGTGTGATTGGGATACACCTGGACACACCTGGGTTACACCTGGGCGGGGTTAGACACACCTGGGTAGAGTTGGAGACATCTGGGATACACCTGGGCACACCTGTGACACACCTGGGCACACCTGGGCACACCTGGGATACACCTGGGTGTGATTAGAGACACCTGGGATACACCTGGGCACACCTGGGGCACACCTGGGCGGGGTTAGACACACCTGGGTAGAGTTGGAGACATCTGGGATACACCTGGGCACACTTGGGACACACCTGGGGAGAGTTGGACACACCTGGGACACTCTTGGCTGAAGCCAGGTATAGCTGAGACTCACCTGGAGGCAGCAGCACCTCCAGGTGTGCCCAGGTGTGCCCCAGGTATCTCAGGTGAGCTCCTGAGGTCCATCCCACGTATCTCAGGTGTGTCATGGGTGCCCCAACATCATTTCCAGGTGTGTCCCAGGTATCTCAGGTATGCCCCAGGTGTGCCCAGGTGTGTCCCAGGTATCTCAGGTGTGCCCCAGGTGTGTCCCAGGTATCTCAGGTGAGCTTTAGGTGCCCCAAACTCACTCCCAGGTGTCCCTCAGGTGTCTCACCTGTCCCTCACCTGTCCCTCAGGTGTATCAGGTGTCCCTCAAGCGTTCCTCAGGTGTGCCCTGAACTCACTCCCAGGTGCATTAAGGTGTGCCCAGGTGTGTTCCAGGTATCTCAGGTGTATCCCAGGTGTGCCCCAGGTGTATCTCAGGTGTGTCCCAGGTATCCCAAGTGTGTCTCAGGTGTATCTCAGGTATCTCAGGTGTGCCCCAGGTGTGTCTCAGGTGTGCCCAGGTGTGCTCCAGGTATCTCAGGTGTGTCCCAAATGCCCCAGGCTCACTCCCAGGTGTATGAAGGTGTGCCCAGGTGTGTCCCAGGTATCTGAGGTGTGCCCAGGTGTGCCCCAGATGCCCTGAGATCACTCCCAGGTGTCCCCCAGGTGTCTCACCTGTCCCTCACCTGTCCCTCACCTGTCCTAGGCCCTGATGGAGCGTTTCAACGCCGACAAGCGCATCTTCTGCTCCATCCTGTCCCTCACCTGTCCCCAGGTGTCTCACCTGTCCCTCACCTGTCCCTCAGGTGTCCCTCAC